AAAAAAAAAAAAAAAAGACAATTGAGCTGAATGACAAGAAGCCAGCCACAGGGATATCTGGGGACAGAACAATCCAGGAGGAGAGAACAGCCACTGCAAAGGCCCTAAGGTGGAAACAGCTTATAGAGTTTGAGGACCATCAAGAGGCCAATGTGGTGCAGTGGAGTGATGCATTTGGGATGTTTCAGGAAGAGCTCAGTCGGGCTTTGCTCTACTTGGGAAGGAGGGGCACAGGGATCCAACCACAGAAGGCCTGAACCCAGACCACCTCTTCCCTTCAAGGGTAAGCAGTAATACATGTCCTCACATTACCTTGTGTGACCTGTTTGCACTCATGGAAGGAAAGAGGACCAAAACCACAAATTGTGCTAAGTGCTTCTGATGATTGCATCTTTGTTCAGTCTACTCTGCCAGGGAAGAATCACTGTTATTCCTGTTTTACAGATGAGCAAACGCCCGAGAAAGGCAATCCTTTTCCTAAGTTTGTGAGCTTAGTAATAGAAGTACCTTCTCCAACACAGGTCTGTCCACTGGCCAGCATTGGTGCTGTGTCTGCCCACTTATGGCGCCATCAAAGTGCTCTCAGGGCACCAAGCTCCTGTTAATCCACCTAATTCATGCTGCTAGCAGGTCACACACAGTAGTGGATGCTTGTCCCATGTATGAGTAGGTGTCTGCAGGGAGGAGGGTGGCTGAGTAGAGATGCACAGGATCCCACTGTATGTCTTGGCTGCCACATGGGACACTGCTGGAACTGAGCCTAAGGTGGCTATTCTAGATGAAGCCCTTAAGGCCTCTGCACATATGGGGATGTGGTTCCCCAAGAAAGCCTCTGGGCACCTGTGCCAGTAGAGGCATGCTCTTGACTGGGCACCATCACTAGGTAGATAGTTCAGGATGGCCCATGTGGGTCACTCTGCCCCTTCCCATAGCTGAGAGCTCCTCCTCTAAATATAGACAAGTAGGCTGAGCTCAGGCCTATTTTAGGCCCAGGTTGGGCAGTAGCCAGGCCTTCCCCAGGCTCAGAAGAGCCATTATTGCCCTTGTCCAATCCTGCTGCTGGACGCCCTTATTGGCCCCGATTGCCCACCACTTGTCATGCCTGACCAGACCCAAGAAGGTAAGAGAGGGTAACTATGAGGGAGGGCAAGGCCCCAGTCTTATAACTCTGTGGACCATAGAGAGACCCATGTCTCCCACTGACCTCTGTATTGACCAGTTACCAGTTTTCATATCCAAACTCTTATAGTAAAGGGACCTACCCCATGTGCATGAACAGCTTGCTGTGCTTGAAATTCCTCTCCACCTCAGGCCCTGATTCACTTTGCCCTGCTGAAGAGGGAGGGATCAGAGAAGCTACCCAGTTAGGGGTAGGTCAATTACAGTCTGTCCCCAGGTGGGTGTGGGCATCCAATAGGTCCATGGCTAGTTCAGAGAAGCTCGGATTAGAGTTGGGGAGTAGTTCCTCTAAGTATTCAGGAACCTGGCCTAGGAACTGGGAAGTAGCGGCCAGAGGCCAACTTGAGTCCAAATATGCCTTTGGCCTGATCAGACTGAGACTCAGCTAGTCAAGAGTTTGGTGGCAGCTGGGCATGATAGCTCACACCTGTAATCCTAACACTCTGGGAGGCCAAGGTGGGTGGATTTCCTGAGCTCATAGGTTCAAGACCAGCCTGATCCAGAGCAAGACCTCATCACTCTAAAGAAAAAAAAAAA